TCTATGATCAAACAAGGTCAAAGCTGGTTGGCTAGAGCTGGGCTCAATTTCTCTTTTCAAACAAATCCCATCCGTCTGTCAGTTTTACCCTCTCTTAAATCACACACCCATCTCCAGTCTACTGCCTAGAGTTAAGACCAACTGAAGAAGCCATGTCCTCATGATAATGCAGCAGCGTAAAAAGCAAAAACAGAGAAACACATTCATCAGCATCTGGCCAAAGGAGACAGGGGTTGGGAGGACTGGTGTGGGAGGCCATTCCTAGCAAGAATGAGACAAAGGTGTCAGTTCACTAGTTTCAGTTACAGTTAAGCTTTTGGTGGAGTTGATTCCAGCAGAGGTGAAGCTCATGGCATCTAGCGCTTGGTTTAAGATAATGCTATTGAAGAAGGGTAATGAGAAAACACAGCAAACTAACAGGGAGGAACTGGCCAAGGAATATCTGGAGGGCCAAAGTGATTTTCTTTCCTTATCATTTCTACAGGAGAAGGCAAGGGGTAGGAGATAAGGGCTGGAGGGCCCCTTATTAGCAGATTTTTTAAAAAATCATTTTTCTTATAACTCCGTAATGAAAATGTGTATTACGGTATGAAGGTTACAGAACTGCATCTGCTACTGGGTCACGGCTACAGGTCTATGAGCTGATCCACCAGCAGTAAAGACCTGGCTAGGTTGGGAAGACTGGACTCAGAGCTCCCACTGCTGTTTCTAGAGTGCCCACCTGGAAGTGGAGAGATAGGAATTCAGTATAAAACACAGAGGGTTAAGGTTTAGATGTGCAGAGCAAGCAAAGGAGAAACAAAACAAAACCCTAGAGAAGCAACACTTTACATCTGAAACTCTTACATGTTGATTTTTAAACATATACGTTAGGTATCCACCACCTCCCACCAAAACTTTAGGCACTGTGTGCACACCATACCACAGGCAGAACACTTTGCAGAGAGGATGCTATTTTCAAACGGGTATACATTTTGCCTGAGAGCTGCCGGCTGTACACTAACTTCCTGATAATATCGACTGAGCTCCCTGATAAAGTAAAAATCAATAATTGTTGCTTTGGGGAAAGATCTGTTATTAAGACCACTGCAATAGAAACATGCTTTAAGAAATATATAGATGGTCCCATGGTAATTCAGTGTCTCATGGCACATTCAAATGGTTATAATCCATCAAAGAGGAAAAAGGATGCTCCACAAATGTCCAAAAGATACAACTGATATCAAAGCACCGTGCTTAATCTCTTTGGGAAGAGTACAGATTATTCAAATCATGCTAAAAAATGTTCAGTGCTTTTTTTTTTTTAATATATGTATATATGACTTCAGGTTTCCACTGACTAAAGGTCATTTTAGTTTTGGCTTGATACTTTGTAAAAACCAGGTTTTAGTCAAAGAGTTAAATATTTTTCTTCTCTCTGAATAAATACTACAGTGAAGCTTTACTACATCTCCACTGTATCTATATCTGTATCTTATATGGTCCATCCCCAAGGCCTGTCATTACCCCCGTTCCCTTCACTAAGTGTTGGTGCTTTCTATGCTTTCTTCCCTCTTGCAGATTAGGTACATTACTATTTTGTAAACAGCTGTGAGGCCAAGCTCTTCTCTTTTCCCCATCCTCTCTTTCTTACCTTGTGGGTTTTTGGTTATCAATACAGGAATAGGGTCAAACTCATCTTCTGCCACCTTGTCCGAGCCCTCAGGGACATCAAAACCTGAGATGAGATTACTATCTTCTGCAGCTTAATACAGAATGCAAGTACACAAGCAGAAACAACAGAGGCAGAGATTAGCAAATGAGAGAACATGTCCGAGGCACAAAGTTCCCACCTATACAGTCACTGTTGTTTTTGAAGATGAAAATGCTTATTTTCATGAGTGGAAATAAAAGTAGCAAAACTGGAAAATAGGGAAACAGAAGAAAAAATGATTTCAAGCTGGCCATGTTAAGACTTTCATAAACGATTAGGGAGAAGGGTTTTATGATCTCTACCATTTTAAGACCTTTAACTGTAGTTATTGTGAGGTATCTCTTCAACTTTAGTAATTCACAAAGGCACAGTAATTAGTCACTTATCCTCCTTATTGAGCAAAGGCTTGACTAACAAACTGTATTCAAGAAACTCAAAGTCAGGAGCAGGGAGGAGGTCATTAGTAGCACCTGCTGTATACAAGGCAAACAAAATACTTCTGAAAAGACTTGCTGCCCTGTGATTGGGAAAAGAGACTTTCTAATAACTCTGATGCCTCAGGGGGTGTTGGGGCCCAAGATAACATGCACTGAGATTTCAAGCAGAAGTCTGTTAGATATTCTTCTCCATTTTGATAAAGACTATCCTACCAGCACAAGTGCTAGCTGAGCACCTATTTTGCAAGTGATGCTTCTCTGTAATTACACATTGCTGTTGACACACTCCTGCCAGACATAATTGGTTAAACACATACTCTATAAGAACATAATCATTTTAATGTTGTCAAGGGTAAAAACAAAACCTCAGCTATTACCACTGTAAACCATAAACTAATTTATTTTTTTTTGGTTTGGTTTTTTTTGTTTGTTTGTTTTAAGTAGGCTCTATGCCCAGCATGGAGCCCAAAGAGGGGCTTGAACCACAGCCCTGCAATCAAGACCTGAGCTGATGTCAAGAGTTGGACACTTAACTGACCAACCCACCAAGGCGCCCCAAACTAATTGTTCTTTAGTCATCTCAGGGAGGCTCTTTTCTTGAATTTCCTTCAGAAGAAACTTACACTGTTCCTTTTCTACATATGTGCTCCTTCCAGAAAACCAATTTCACTACCCAAGTACAGAAAGAAGATTAGTGAATGCCTGCATACAGTAGGCCAGGTGCTGTGCCTCTCACTTCTACAAACAACTCATTGAGGAGAACCCAATTCAAGCTACTTCTGTCCAGGAGCATTTCAAACCAGTATTAACCCAAGAGTTAGAAACGAAAATGGTAAATCAGAAAGAGAAATCCAATAATCAATCAAGACTTAAAATTCAAAACTTCTATAAGTTCAATCTTTGAAGCCTGACTTTTGAGGACTTAGCCTGCTTCTTTACTATAGCAATCACTACTCAAAAACTTTAAACCAGATTTGATGAAACAATTTTAAGGTCTCAGGCTAACAAGTATCGTATTGATAATAAAAGTTGAGTCAGTGGATAGTCAACGCAACCATCTATGTGCGCGGACTCCAAAGGTATGTAGCTCTGCCTTTAATGGAGAACACGGACTATGTGCACTCTGGGAGACTGCCAGAAAGCAATGACTAAGCCAACCTGTTGTCTAAGCCTTATTAGGTACTCTTCCTAGGAGGGATTCTAACACAGTGGCCAAGAGTACAAACTTAAGTTTTCCATATAGAGGAGGGGGCTAAAAAACTTCACTGCTAAAGACTTTTGGTAAAAAAGATTCTCAGGAATCATTCAGTTCTCCTTTAAGAATACATGTGTGCCCGAGGACAGGAAAGCATTTACCTTTATGGGCTGGAGCAGAGATCGCTATGGGGGCAAACTCTTCCAGCAGGTCAGTAGTAGGGTTAGAAAGCAAGGAGCAATCAATCAGGGAATCTTCCCCGGTGAGAGAATCTGAGTCCAGATTAACAGCATCCCAGGTCAGTGATGGCATTAAATGGCACACACAATACCATGAGATTAGATTTTAGCCTTTAAGTTATTACATTTACATTTTATACACATAATAAGCCAAGGCGAGAGAAAGAAAACCAAAAGTAACATATTAAACTCCCTGCATTTTCATCTATAGTAACAAGTATTTCTAGATTCTCTTAACATTAACATATAAATATGGAATAATTCTTTGCTCAGAAGTTGCTGGGTAAGCAAGTATGTGATTTGGATGCCAATAAAACTTTAGCAACTCAGTTCTCAGCAAATGCCATTTGGGAAAAAGGACTTTGCAACGAAGAGTTTCATTTAAACTTTCCCTGAACATTTATAGGAAAAGGTACTATAGGATGAGGTATCTAAGTGGATGAGAAGGGGATTGTCCCTGACTTATTATTAGCAGAATATGACATGACTAAACAACACTTTCTAGAACTCAACTAGAACCCCATTCGAAATAAAATGATCTTGCTTCTTACTAGTATTCTTTAAATTTGAATTGCTCCTCTGAACACATGATTTTTACTTTTAGTTAAGGAACAGAAGGAAGACAAAATTCAGAGTTCAAGCATTTTCACACACAAATTGTGCTCTGGGAAAGTTTTCTAAAAGAAAACAGTCAAGTACGCACAAGAGAAAGGAACCACATTGTCTTCTATGTTCATTTTGTCCCCCACTAAAATGTAAGTTTATTTTCATAGTTCCTAGACTTCCAATGGTTTCTGTTCCAAGTTAGGAAATCAGACTCTTATCAGACTCTTATTGACTATGGACTCAAAAAAATGCACGTTATCAACTCTGTATTTATGGGGAATTAAGGAATTCTATTAAGAGCGAACTTTGAAATTAGAGTGAAAGCAATGCTGAAAACAGGGGAAACTTTCGACTCAGCCTATAATTTAACACCAAACTACCCATCTAGGATTAAGCACTGTGCTCAGGACAGAATGTCAACACACAGAGCAGTAGCTCCATGAAGTCACTGACATGGTTGGATAGAAAAACTGAACAGAAACTTTAGAGGAGTCAAGGTCATCCTTGTAGCTCAGCAGAATTCTTTAGGGAAGGTGGTGGAGGGAACCTGCCACCAGTGAAAAGAATCTTGAATAAAGAAATACTCTAACCAGAGAAAGCCCAAGGACCACTCTATAAAGAACATGGCTCCAAAAAGCACTCTGCTCTTAGCAAGGAAACACATCACTAAACAGCTAGAAGCTGGGGCTCCAACTATACAGAGCATCCATTCTAGGAGGAACTAACCAGGCTGCAAACTAAGCCCAGGATCATCTGCTGCAGGTGGAAAGGCTGGCTCCGAGGGCCACAACAATGACCAGTCCCTGCAGCTGCAGGGACACCTGACTGACCTGTGCGGTTCGAGGTCACAGATTCCGTCTGGGATGGAAGGCGCTGGGGCACTGGGGGCTCCAGTCCCGGTATGAGACTCTCAACAGCAACATCGGCCTTTTCTTTTGTGACAGAGCATTAAGAGAGGAGAACAGACGGTAAGAGAAAAGGAGTCAAAAGGTTCTTCAGACAATTCTGTGAAGGCTTCCTTCTATAGGTATCTAAAATGCCTAGTCTCAGGCATGATGGACAGCACAATAAGTTACTTTATTTCTGCTGCTTTGAGTGTCTGGGCTTCACTGATTGAGCAGGCATGTGCAAGGTTAACCACTATAACTAATCTTGGTGACTTTCAGTTTTTATAGATAAATGTGGAGCACGAGTCACCCAGCAGACCTCTTCCATGTCAGAAGACATAGGTTGAAAGGCACCATAGTATCTTCTGGTAATTTTGCTTTTCTTAAGGGGTAAACTTGGGGACAGACATCCTCTGTGCCTTGCGAGGGTGACTAGTCCATTTGAAATCTCACCCCGTGATGTGGCTGGGAGGTATTCTGCACTGTGTGACATCCTGCAGCTGAAGGCCAGTCTTTCTACAAGGTCATGGCCTTTCTACAGGTTATGTGCCCTGGAGTGCTGGGGCCCTGCACATTTTGTAGGTCATGCCTGCCTGTGCTGTAGGAGTACAGGGAAATACCAGACTGAGCAGACTGAGCCCCTGCCCCAGATTCTATGCGTGGGGCGTGTTCACCACTGGGCAAGTGTTTTCTGTTATGGATACGGGACACATACAGAGGCCTTCTAAAGAAGAATCTGCTAAAGGTAAGGTCCCAGCTTGAAACGAACTTCTTTAGTGAAGCTTTAGTAATTAAGTGTGAATTTTTCCATTCCTCCTCATTCATAAGAAATTCCCTTTAGAAGTCTTAGGCTATCAAGTAAAACAAAAATAACAGTGCGGTGCCCCTGGAAAGGCAGAGAAAACACTTTATTTGGGGTGATAACAAATGAGATTAAAGGAGGCTTTGCAACAGTTCCATTCCACAGCACACCTATTCAATAGGGATCTGCCAACCAGCTAGTTATCATTCTTGAAACAGACACATAGACCATGCAGGACCAAAGAAACAGAGATGACGACTTTACCAATTACAGCATCGGAAGTGCTACCAAAAGGGTCTGTCATAGGCAAGAGGTCAGGGAGCAGGAGAGAAGTGTCAGGAGATTTGAGTCCCTCAATTAGTTTTTCTAGGTTGGGCAGAGAGGTAAAGAGAAAGCAAAAGTGCAGTGAGATATTAAACCAAGCTGAACATTTACCATTTTCTAAGCAAACACATTTTGGGGTCAAAATTTTGTATAGATTCATCATAGAAACAAATACGGTTAGTATCTTTTACTGTTAATTACAAATAACCTTTCAAAATTCAGTTCAAAAATGATTATTTCTCCAGTTGAGGTAGTCACTTTGTAAGTCATTCAAGATACTGCCCTAGGTTTGTCTGTTTTAAAATTTGAGGTATAGGTGCGCCTGGGTGGCTCAGTCCGTTAATCGTCTGACTTCAGCTCACATCATGATCTCATGGTTCGTGGGTTCGGGCCCTGTGTCGGGCTCTGTGCTGGCTGCTCGGAGCTTAGAAACTGCTTCAGATTGTGTATCCCTTTCTCTCTGTCCCTCCCTGCTGTGCTCTCTCTCTCTCTCAAAAATAAATGTTTAAAAAATAAACAAAATTTGAGGTATAAATATTTACCCAAAAGATAAAAAAAATATACATTCGAAGGGATACATGCACCCTGACCTTTATAGCAGCACTATCAACAATAGCCAAATTATGGAAGGAGTCCAAATGTCCATCGACTGATAAATGGATAATGTAGATGTGACAGGATATACATATGTGTGGTGTATATATATATCATATGTCATACACACACATTACATATATGATGAAATATTATTCAGCCATAGAAAGAATGAAACCTTGCCATTTGTAACAACGAGGATGTAACTAGAGAGTATTATGCTAAGTAAAATAAGTCAGTCAGAGAAAGACAAATACGAATGATATCATTCATATGTGGTATTTAAGAAACAAAACAGATGAACATAGTGGGGAAAAAGAGAGAGAAGGCAAACCATAAAAGAGACTCTTAACCATAGAGAACAAACTTAGGGTTGCTGGATGGGAGGTTGGAGGGGGACAGGTTCAAAGGGTGATGGCTATTAAGGAGGGCACTTGTTGTGATGAACACTGGGTGTTGTAGATAAGCGATTAATCCCTAAATTCTACACCTGAAACTAGTATTACAAACTGTATGCTAACTAACTGGAATTTAAAACTTGAAAAAGAAAAAAAATTTTTTGAGGTATAATTTACATTGAATAAAAGTCATCATGAAATTGGTGCACAATTTGATGAGTTTTGACAAATGTACACACTCATATAAGCACCACTGAAATGATGGAGAACATCTCCATCACACCCCCGAATACCCTTGTGCTTTATTCTGGTCAGTGCCTGCCTCTTGCCTGTGCCCTGGCCATAACTAATCTGCTTTCTGTCCCTACAGCCTTGCCTTTTCTAGAATTTCCTATAAATGGAACCATGCAGTATATAGCCTCTTCGGTCTGATGTCTTTCATTTAGCATAATGCTTCTGAGACTTCTCTCCGGTGTGGTATATATTGGTAGTTTGTTCTGTCTTATGTGGTAGCTGTATGAGCTGTATGAGCTCTGCTGTATGAGCTGTCACATTTTGTTCAATCATCCACCAGTTGATAGACATTTGGTTGTTTCTAGTTTTTAGCTATTAAAAATAAAGCTGCCATAAACATATATCCATATAAGTATACATTCATACCCCTTCCTGGGCTTAGTTGTGCAAATTTTTTTGGACTTGCATTTAGAAATGGTTTGTAACTCAGCAAGTGGGTCAAAATATGCCTAAATTAACTTCCACCATCACTTATTGTCTGACAATGGAGAGCCTGTGACAGGCTGGTACTCTTATCATTCTATGGTCAAACCTCATGAGATTCATTCACTTACACCTAAAGATGGATTACTTTTGCTGTCTTTTGGCTAGAAAACAAAAAGATATAAGAAGCCACCAGACTTGTCACACCTAATGTTTATAAGTGCACACATTAAGATTCCTTCATGATTCTGCCAGCCTTGATCCATGAACAAATCTCTATTTACGTTCAACTTATTAATGGTAGAACATTAACTTGAAACAAAATAATGAATCATAGAATCTTACAAAAAGAAGGGAATTAAGGTCTCAAACCTCCTTTTACTTGCAAGGAGGTTGAGGCCACATAAATTCTATAATTTGCTCAGTTAAAGCCTGTCGACATTTTTTTTTAATCACAGAAATACCATACCATTAAGATAAAACTAAAATTAAAATGTTTGAGAAAAAGAAGTGACTTAAAGTCCAAGTATGTGTCTATAATGTTTTAATGAATCTGCATTCTTCCAGGCCATCAGAAATCAAGGCAAGTAAAGATGAAATTGATATTCGCTGAATGACCAAAACCAAATTTCAGGTGATCTGTAATTTAAGGTGATCTATAACTACACAGATAAAACAAAATAATGGATTTTAGTGTCTTGGCAAGATAATTTGCTTTGGTCCAATTAACATACTGCAGAAAAAGACATTTTTATATGTGAAACCAATTTACCATCTTTGGAGTATATGGCATGTCAATATCTTTGAATTAAAGGACAATATGCTACATTTCTCATTTACACCTGATTTATATTGAAGAAAGGAAGGAAGGAAAAAAAACAACTTTTCAACAGCAAGGGAAAAAACCCCAGGGTACTAACCAAGTGTACAAGTGTAATCACATTAGTATTAATCTTGCATCATGCATAACATTTTATTAGCAGACAAGATGTTAAAAATATCTGACAATTTTTAGCATACTGGCAAAAATAAGATGGTTTTCCCAAAAAGTCCAATTTGTCATTATTCTGAACACTAGCTTTTGTTTTATTCCCCAAAAAGAGCTTCTTTCAAAACCAGAAAAGTAATCATTTGTTTCTTTCAATTTCAGCACTCATATATTTGCAATCTTATGAAGTAACATATAAAAAGTAATGACCCCAAATTACTTATCTTTAATATAGCAGTGTATCTAGGTGCAAAACCTTGGGCTCACCAGATTCAGATTTTGAATTCTAGCCTCTCCAATGACTGTGACCATGGGGCAGTTCCTTAAACTTCTGTCATTACCTCAACTGTAAAATGGGAGATACCTCCCACCATCCTTCTGTACTGGTCACTCAAGTATCATCTCCTCCAAGCCTTTCCCTGTCCTCCCTTCACTCTCTTCTTTTGCAGCCCTTACAACGTGACCAAAGGCAGAGAAGGTATGTTATTAATCTCTGTATCCCTGTGGGGTGCTGGGGTGGTTCAGTCGGTTAAGCATCTGACTCTTGACTTCAGCTCGCGTCATGATCTTACGGTTCATGAGTTTGAGACCCCCACCGGGTTGTGTGTTGAGAGCATAGGGATTCTGTCTCCCTCTCTCTCTCTCTCTCCCCTGCTCGCGCTCTCTCTCTCTCTCTCTCAAAATAAATAAGTAAACATGAAAAAAAACCTCTGTATCCCCAGTTCTCGGTTTCCTCTCATACCCTATGTCACATGTCTGCCTTTAGCCTCACTGGAGAGGTGGGAGGAATAGAGGATCAACTGGAAGGTCAGGTTCTTCAGCAAGAATCAACTATTTTTATTAGCCGTTAGCAAAAAGCTGATGTGAGGAGATAAAAAAGTGTGTGTGTGCATACAAGCGTGCATGCGTTGTATGAACAGGGTGGGGATGAGCTAAGTTGCCAAATGTAGGGAGACTTATCTTCTGACCAAACAGTAACAGGTTATTCACATGCATAATCTGTGATGACACTTGAATACTGGACTGTGGGAAGGAGGAGCAGGGACAGAGCAATAGCAGACAGAGAACTAGGAGTGAGAGCACAGAGCCACGGCTTAAGTAAGGTGGACGGCACGTACAAAACCAGTCTGTCACCCCCAGCATTACTGAAATGACATACTCAGTGTGGGGGTCCAGGGGCCACTGGGACTACTGTCATCACTTCCATTTGCAGTTTAATGTCAAACATTTTCATTCATTATTCACAAAAACCCCTGAGTTTGGGACTACTGGTAGAGTTAAGAATGGACATAGACACTGTGAGAGTGTGCGACCTGCCCAAAGTCACAGATGGGACATAGTAGAGCCCACACTTGATTTCAGATTCTCCCACATGCTGCCTATAGGGTCTGCCTGTCCCCATCGACACAGGAGAACAGGTCTTTACATAGATATGGTCCCATGCCTAACGGCCAAGTTATCAAAGACATGTTGGCCCCTGGAAGGAGCCTCAGATCTTATTCAATTAGCCTTCTCATCTACAGATGAAGAAACTAGCTCCAGAAAGGTGAAGCCACATGCCTCAGAGCTTAAAGCAGGTCAGCCACAGAGCCAGCTAGGACTATGACCCAAACCTTCTACACATTAGAGATTCAGTCCTCTGGTTTAACAAAAGCTTTGGTTGCTTTAAAATGTAAAACCATTAGAAGAAGTCACACCTCAAGCTATCATAGCTCATTTTTGGTCTTTGTAAATGAAGAACTTGAGAAGAGGATATAATGGGAGGCAAGAGAAAGGCTACAGGAGGCTGAGAGTTTATAAATCACAGCCTGCAGGCCTCACATATGCATCAAGGGCCAGCCTTGATATCACTCGCGTTAGGACTTCTGTCCACTCTTACACTCAGACATGCTGAGACTATGTGTCACAAAGGAGGTGGGTGGGAGGAGCAATGCAGAGAGTGGTAAATTTAGGAACGTGTGCAGGAAATGTTCTTTAAGATCCCAAACCTCAAACAAGTTCTCCATGGGCATTTTGCAACTTGTTGATATCTAGTGAAGCCATAGACACCTGAGATAACAGTAGTGAGAATGGGTGAGATTCGAGTAAAACTCAAGGTTTTACTCGAGTGCCTTGGTAGGAGATCAGAAAAAGCAGAATTCCTTGAATAAAGTGAAATGTGAGAGGAGGCAGCATGGTCTGCCAGAGAGAAAGAAAAGGCACAAAGAGACAGAGACCTGGGCTCTGCACTAAGTTGATGTGACACTTTGGAAAACTACCATTGTTCTCTGGATCTAAGTTTTTCTTATTGATAAAATGATAAAATGAAGATACACTTAGGTCCTATCCACCTCTACAAGCCAATC